TTAGTATCGGTAATTGAAGTTTGAATCGTCTATGTAATGTGGTACTTTTTAGGTTTAAATACTATTTTGATGATCGTATTTTCAACTTTGGTTCATTTTGATTTTTAAACCTTCAAAAAGATCTAAATGATTTATCTCTTTCAACTCTGTTTCATTTTAGTCCTATACTTTTTGAAACGTCTATTTTGTTACATGTACTTGTAAAAAGCGATTATTTTGATTCTTATTTGCAAAATTTCAACATAAATTTTATACACGATGAAAGTTTTTTTAATACAAATTTATGGCTACATTTTAAGAAATTTATAGAAATGATAAAATTGTGATAGAAGAAATGAGATAGAAAAAAAATGAAAAGATCAAAATAGCCCCTTTTTAAAAGTATAAGGACGAAAATGAACTTAAAACATTGACCAAAATGAATGTCTTGAAAGTATAGGAACTAATATAAAAAATATAAAGATCAAAATAATAGCTAAACCTCCTTAACTCGAGGCCTTAGATTTGAACTCATACTCGTGTATTTGTGAAGTAATATTCTAAAAAGAAGTATTCATTTTTCAAAGTTTTTTTCTTGAATCTTTTATCACTATGATTTAATTGGATCAAATTACAAGTTTATTGTAAGAATTTTAAAAAATGTTTAATAGATATTCATACTATGGTTACATCCAAAACTTTAAAATCTGTCTACTACATCCTTAAATTTTTTTGTTTCATTTGTAATAGAATTATAGGAATTTTGTGTTTACTTTTAAGTCTCTGAATTTTAAGTGTTTCTTTTTAAAATTTTGTATGTAATAAATTTACAGAGACATCATTTTTTTGAAGTTTAAGGACCTCTTACTATGAAACTGAACAAACCTTGGGCATGCAACCCAAAAATCTCGAAAGACAGCTCGCTTGAAGAAAACTATTTTAGAGCCTGGTTCAATGTCATACATTTCCTCAGAGCTTCAGATCGCGAATCTTCTTATGAAGTCCCACACCACTGTGGGATAGCCGGAACTAGAAGACTCTGTAAGACCCCATTTCCTATCTACCTCTCTTCATCCTTAGTTTTCGGAGCAGCAGAGACTCACGCTTTAACCGTTTCATCTGAAGCGATATGTCGTTCGAGGTCTCTCGAACCACCTGTTGTACTAATGTCTATATTCCGTTCTAGGAATAAGGTAATGATCATTTAGAATAATTGAAATTGTTATTCCAAGTGGACAATGATTTTGATTTTTACCAGCCACCCAATCACATTCTTTTAAAAATAAATGGAAAAAAAAAAGCTCTTGGAAACAGTCTCTTTCTTGGTAGTTTTTCCTTCTAGTTTTAGTTGAGTGATGTGAATTTTAGAAAATGTCTTAAACTAAATTATTGTTTTGAAAATTTGAAATTTAACAGTCATCATATTCATAATTTGAATAAAAATTTAGTTTAAGATTTTTTTTTTTTTTGAAATGATTCATTGGTTTGGTTTGGTTGAATACAAATTTTTCTTTTTCTTTTTAAGAAAATTTACATCAAAATCTTAGGATTTCTTTTTCTAGTTAATGAATTAAAGAGGATATTAATTTTAAGGTTTAAATATTATTTCGGTCTCTCTTGTTTTGACTTTGGTTTATTTTTGTTATTTTCAACTTTGTTTTTTCATTTTAGTCGTTGGGTTTAATTTAGTTGATGTACTTTAAGATACACAAATTTTATACACAATAGAAACTCTTTAATACAAGAATATATATCCAATAATAGTTTAGTGGGTGAAGTGTAATACTAAAATTATGATCGAAAGAAATTAGATAAAAATGAAAATGAGGAGAAAAAAATTATCGTTTTTTTTAAGTACAGAGATCAAAATGAACGTTTTGAAAGTAGAGTTACTAAAATGAATAAAAGTTGGGATTGTTTTGAAAATACAATGATCTAAATGAACCAAAATTGAGAGTACATCGACCAAAATAATATTTAAATTAAATATGTATATTTCAATTTAGATATATTTGATTAAATCAATGATCAAATCGCTGAAATAGGTCCAGTTATTTTAAATTTTGAGTGAACTTTTTCGATATAAAACAAAATATACACTAAAATGGAGAAGTATTAAAGATCAAATTAAATTTTTTTTTTTTATTTTTTACTTTCATGACTGTCATGCCTATTTAAGTTTAGTTCAACTGTTTAAGATATTTATCTCTGATTAAAAGACGGTGAGTTCAAATCTCTACCCCACATGTTATTGTATTAAAAAATATATTAATGTAATTGCCAATTTTTCGAAACCTACCATTATGAAAAAAAAAAGAGTGAGAGATTGACTTGTTAGTATAGCAAGAAATTTTTTTTTTTAAAGAACAATATATTACAATGCTGGGTCAGAAATTCAAATTTAGATCGTTTAAAAGAGGTAAAAATACCTTAACTATCGAGTTGTGCTAAATTTGGTCGGAGCGAAGATCGATAAAAACATAAAAGTATAAGGCTTCAAACAATATGTAAAGTTGTATTTTACAAATATTTTTCTTTGATCCCAAAATTCTGGTAGACTAATTAACATTACCAAAGGATTAAAATTAAAATCCACCTTATAACACATTCATTAAGACAAAAATTGAGATGATATTTTAGTTTTGTGGTTTCAATCAATTAGTCATATCATTAGAGATAAGATTGCACTTATAATTGACTTTTACAAATTAGAGAAGGATGTGTTACATCATTAGACTTGTTTAATGACAATTATTTATTAACAACCTTTTTTTTTGTATACCCAATTAATTAAAATTTGATATCACATAATTAATTTTAAGTTGAGTGAAGAGTTTACTCCTCAAATTTTTAGGTTTGTGTCCGACCGACCACTAAACTTTAAAAAATATCTAATAGACCCATAAATTTTCAATTTACTGTCTCATGGGTCTTTGATGTCATTTTTAGAATTAATGAATCTATTAGACATATAATAGACTTTTTTTTATAGGCCATAAACTTTCAATTTTGTGTCTAACAAGTTCGTCAATTTAAAAAAAATGTCGATTATATCAGGGTTCTTTTCAATATAAAGTTGAAAATTTAAGGATCATAAAATTGAAAATTTAGAGACGTATTAAACTCGGTAAAGTTCGTTCACAAAACTTGTTAGGAGAAAAATTGAAATTTGAGGTTCTATTAAACACTTTTCAAAGTTTAGAGACTCATTAAATACAAATATGAAAATTCGTTGGTAAAACTTTTAACGTATATTTTATTGATTATGTAAGCAAATTTTTCAAAATTTGAAAAGTTGAAGTTTGAATATGACAATATAATGGATAGATTTAAACCAAGGTTTCAAATCTTAAATAAATATCTAAACTTTCAAATATTATGAATTGGATCTTGAATTGATGCAATTTTGTTAAAGAACAAATTAATTTGTTCATTTTAAATAAAAAGTCTCAAGTTGAAAAGGGAGAAATCTAAGGTTTCTTTAGAAAGAAAATATAAAATTAGATGGCTAGAATAATAATTTAGGTTTAAATCCTAATTTTATGCTTTCTTTTTTTCTTCAAATTTTCAAATATTTTGTCTTATTTTGGAATTTGCATTAAAAAAATTAATTATTATCTTTTTACTCTTTTTGTAATTAAAAAAAATTCTTTTACATAGATATATTTTATTAGGTTATTTGATGAACAAATTATTGACAAGTACTTAAAAATTTACAAAGTTATGTCAAAGTGAATTTGACTTTTTGTTAAATGTTTGAATTTTTTTTTTAACATAGTTTTAAGAAATGGGAAAAACCCGACTAAAAAAAAAGAAAAAAAAAAACACTAAAAACTTACCCCTATAAATTTAAGGAAAGAAACCTAACATTTCAAGGTGGGGAGACCTAAATATTTAAACAATATTATCGTCGAGAACTTAACTAATAAAGTTGTGTAGCGGAAAAGTCACTGCTTTGAAAGCAAAACCTATTTTCACCTAGGTTATCTTGATTTCAAAAGCCAATGTAGTTGAAAAGAAAGAGATTATTGTTGCTGTGGCGGTAGAGGCAAACCTTTTGGAAAACAAGGTCGATTGGTTGCTTGATACAGACGCCACTATACATTTTTGCTCCAATAAGACTTGTTCCAGGAATTCGATGAGGCGCCACTAGCCAATCAACTTTGTTTTCATAACACGTTTGTCTCTACCACCATAATGATCTTTTCCTATTTAGTTACATTGCCTTTTGAAATCGAGACAACCATAGTGGTAAAAATAGGCTTCGCTTTCAAATTGTTGGATAAATTAAAATGAAACAAAGTTGTACGGTGCAAAAGGCCACTGGAAAGCAAAATTTCGACTTTAACACAGTGATTCAACCGTTCGCCTTCAAAGGTTAACACAATAATTCCAAGACACATGCACTCGTGACTAAAGGTTAACACAACAATTCAACGGCACATGCATGTACTTGTGGCTAGTAAAACAAGCCTCTCGAAACAAAATTCTATTTTTGATTGATTTTCAAAATAGCATAGTTAAATTAACAAACTCTAAATTTAGCAAGCTTAAAAATATCAAAAACACTGCTATAAATGAGTCATTCCCAAAACTTATTAAAATCAAAATCAAAAGTTTAGAAAAATATTAAATAACACTTTTTAAGTCTCCTTTGATAAACCATTTTATTGTTTATTTTTTAATTTTTAAAAATTATGTTTATAAACATTATTTCCACATTTATGTTTATTTCTTTGTTTTCTACCAACTTTTTACAAATTTAAGCCAAAATTTTAAAAAAAGTATTATTTATTATTATTATTTTTAGATTTGGATTAAAATTCAAATCCCTTTTTATAAGAAACGTGAAAATCGTGTCAAATAACTTGTGAGGGAGCAAAGCATGATTTTTTAAAAAAATATATGAAACTCTTGTCAAACAAAACTCTAAGTTTAGAAATCAAGTAGACATAATTATAAAAGATGAGAAAGCCCATCTGATAATGTAGACCATGCGAGCTTCAAAAGGAGTTAAAATTTCTAAACTGAAAGATGGTAGTTGACAATAATGTTAGGGAGCCCTCATGACAGATGGGTCATGGGGGGCCACATTCTAACGTAATTTCCATTGAGTGTGGATAAAATCCTTTACAAAAGACTTAAGCACGTGATAGGGTACCTGTGCTACACCTGTTAGTGCGAAACATCAGGAAACCCTCGTGACGGATGAGTCCTAGAGGTCGTCTTGTCTTGTAATGTAATTCCACTTGATAACACGAATCGCACGAGCTTCAAAAGGAAATTAGGTTAAAGTTTATAAACTGGGACATGGTAGTTGAAGCAATATTACGAGCCCTTCGTGACGGATGAATTCGGCTGTTTTGTAACGTTACTTTTATCGAGCAATGGGTAGAATACTTTACAAAAGACCTAAAAACGTGATGGGGTGTTTGCACTGCACCTGCCAGTGCTCAACAGATCAGGAAACTCTCATGACGGTTGAGTCCTAGAGGTTGCCTTATAACTTAATTCTTGCCACTTTGCAGACCATTTAAATATGCGACATAGTACTTGCACCTGTCTAGCGCACCCATTTGACCACACTAGCGCCTATCCACCACACCCATCTGTCTATGTACAAGACATTACGAGTCCTTACGCATCTTGTTGTGAAAATCGACATTCAATGTCTAATCACTCTTAAACTATCGATGTGCTATTAAACTTGGTATATATCGAACATTCAAGAGAATCTAGTTTAGAAGTAGGAGCTGGAATGAATAGTGATGTCCAAAATATTAACCTCCCAATTTAACCAATCACATGATGAAGCAAAAACAGCTGCCAAAGGAGAAAGAGGGGCAAAAGGGTCATTTCACGAATTAGCCAATGATTGAAGCCCAACCAGAGAAATGAAAAACTGTTTGAGAACATGGGGAAAGAGACTGTATGTTGGGGAGTCACAGCAGGGGCCCACCCTCCTTCGCTGACGTGGCAGGATCGAGCAACATGATTGGTCTCCACGTTAGGAGAAAGGAGGTGGGCCCCGGCAGTGAGTCCAACGGAGCATGAGCTGTCACAACGTGCGGAGAGGATTTAAACAAGGGAATCGTAGATTCGCACGATGCAATCCTGACCGTCCGTCCGGTGGGGCCCAATCATATTCTCACGTTTTTTCCTCTCAAAAATGGGATTTTGTGGGTGGTGCGTTGCATTCAAACCCGTTCCTTGGACTTTTTTTTTTCTATTTTAAATTTATTTTTATTTAATATTATTTTGCTGTTAGAATTTAAAATATTATATTCAACTCAATTTCAATTTCGTCTGGTAATGTTTTTATTTTTATGGTTAAATCTATCTAAACAATAATAATCAAATCATAATTTACTTTTATTTTTTAAAAATCTTAATATAAAATTATAGAAACATGTTAAAGAGAGATGTTTGAGAAAGTGAGATGTGCTATTTGTGAGAAAGTTTATAGTGGAATTCAAAATATAAATTTAATTTTGAAGACATGTTTTTCTTTTTAAAAAAATATATAATATTTTAAAGGGAACTTGTCTTTTAATTGTAAAGTTGATAAATTAGTTGTAAAATGGCTCTTAAATATTCTAAAAGAATAACTAAACGAAGGCAAAAGGAAGAGGAAGATAAGAGGATATAAAAAAAGTCTAAAGTGAGAAATAAAAGACTTTTATATATATATATATTTATTTATTTCTGTTTGGGAAATGTAGAATATATGTATAATGTTTTAATCTATTGAACTTTAGGTTAATAGTGAAGATTCGAACTTATGACTTATGAGAGATATTAATATTTTGACCGATTAAAAAGGAGGTCATGAATTGTCATGTCAAAGTTAGTTCATTTATTTCTGATGTTGATTACGTCGAAGCCCCTAGCAATATGCAATAGCATCTTCACTACATTTGAAGTTGAGCTTCATTTTTTTGAAAGTTGAGATTGATTCAACAAGAATTTTCAGCATAATAGCTGGAGGAAAAGAGATGATCAGTATGCGTTAGGGATATATTATCAAGAGAAATACTCTACCTTGCATCCCAACTCTAGAGTTGTTGTTCTTTCAACTTGTGTAAGAGATCTGCAAATTTGACGACACACATACAGCGAAAAGGATGACAAGCGAGATACGGAAAGGCGTTGGATTGAAAGAAATTCTTAAAACTATTCGTGAAAAATACTTGTCGTAAGAGAAGAAATTCAGACTCATCGAGTAAATTCCTTTTAAGATTTCACATATCAAAAAGTAAATTTGAGAGAGAGAGAGCATAATTGTAGAAGAGAGATGTTGGAGATGAAGCTAATGGCGAGAGGGTCCCATAATTGTTGGCTTAACTGGTTTTTGCTAAGCACAAATTTCCCCACATTGATTCTTTTGTCATTTTTCAATAATTTTCTTATCATAATTTATCCTCGCCATTTTTCAATAATTTTATTTCCTATGTATACATATATATATAAAAAAAAGGTACATATTTGAGTAAAATATAATTTTGAGGAAGAATAGTGCTAGGCCCTGATCCACCTTCATGATTGAATAGTCAACATTTTAATGAAGTTTTATTTTCTCAATTAAAAAAAACAAAATGAAACCTCAATTTTGATGACAATGTTAATTTTATGCGATTATAGAGTGAAATTTTCGATAAGAAATCGATATCGCTACTTATTCTTTAAAAAAATTAAAAAATAAATAAATCAAAGTGTGTGTCCCCATTCCTCATATTTCGTTTATATTTTTACGAGGTCTCAATTATATTTATATATTATTTATATATAATATTATCGATGAAAATTTCGATAAGAAATGGGTATCTCTACATGAAAAAAAAAATTGAAAAAAATCAAAGAATGTGTCTCCATTTCTAATATTTGATTTATACTCGAATTTGTTCTCGTGTGTGTGGAAAAGGCAAGTACATGAACCTCGTAGAGAATCATTCCCTTAATAATTTTGATGGGACATTTTTTTTAATAATTGATTTCAGTGCAAAAGAAAAGTAAAGAAACAAAATGAATTCTTTTATCTAAATAAAAGTTGGCCTTTTAATCTGCTTCATGTACTTAAAAAATTAGGATCACAATAATAATAATCATTAGGTTGAGGATGAGTTGTGCTAGGCGAAATCACCCTTGACTCTACGTTGAAACGGTGCTACAACACTTCTCGAAACTCCCCTATAAAAGATAGAGCCTATTCCTCACGAAGGCACGCAGTATCTATACACAACATAACTAAGCTCGACTTGATACTGGCTAGCTCGGTCTAAGTACTAACTTACCGATGTAAGGTTTTGTTGGTAAGTTATCACCTCGACTAATCAAACATCCACTTCAAATCAGAAGCCGACCTGTCATCTCGTTCTAAATTCTGCATCACACATACAATTAAATTATAAGTTTGATACTTCAAGTTTTAGAATTGTGCCTAAGTTTGTATGCTTTGTGTAGTGTCTAATAGGTTTTTAAATTTCAATTTTATGCCTCACAGAAGTCTTAACTTATGCACAGTTAAGACCAAAATCGAAAGTTTAGCGACCTATTAGACGAGGAAAGATGCTTTTTAAGTTGGGAACTCATTTAGATACAACCTTCAAAGTAGGTTTAAGAACAGAAGTTAGATATATAGTATAGGCACACTAAAACAAGTAGATAATATACATGTTATTTATCAGCACCAAGCAATAATAGTTTATACATTATACACATTCTATACATTCACAAAAAAATTGTGGGAAAAAGTGAGGGAAAATTTAACTGGCTTTTTGCTAACATACAGGAAGTGCCTCCCTAAAGCCAATGCTAAAGTTAGTATTCTGTTGACCCTTCTTCCCCAAATCACCATTGCCCATCTGCATCATCGCGACAAATTCGTTGTAATCGATTCGACCGTCCTGGATATGAAGTTGAACAAAACATAGAGATCATTTAGAAATGAAAAAACAGATCGTCCCATTTGACTGTCTTTGAGGATTTTGAGTTTGCATTTGTTTATAGCAGCAGCAGACTAATCAAGTATGTAAAAGAAAATAAAGCAGATGTGTTGCCTTACGTTATCCTGATCGACTTCTCGGATCATATCTTCCAAGTGAACGTTCTCGATGCCAAAATCCTCGCACGCTTGTTGAAGTTCGTCTTGCGTGATATAACCGCTCCCGTCCTTGTCAAAGTACTGGAATGCTGCAAAGAGATGATCTTCTCTCCCAGCTTTGTTCAAATGAAGTGTTGCTGCTATGAACTCCCCATAGTCTATGCAGCCATTGTTGTCGAAATCAGCCTGCATTTCGAAACCAGTATCGTTACGGAAGAGATATGGAACGAGCGAATCATGTCAGACAGCAGAATGAATACATTTTAAAATGGAAACAGTTAATTTGTTTTCACAACTTACAGCTTGCATTAGATCCTGTATCTCATTCTCATTAAGATTAGCTCCAAATCTTTTGAGTCCATCTTTTAGTTCTTCAAAAGTAATTTGGCCGCTGTTGTCAGTATCTATCATCTTAAACATTTCCTTTAACCCGGCGATCTCTTCTTCGGAGAGGCTCTCAGCAATCACCTGAAAAAAAAAAGAGGTAACAATAAAGGGACATAAAGTACATTTTCAGTTTAGGCTTTTGAACCATCAGAAACAAATGCCTTCTGGAATCAACTGTGCAAAAAACTTACTCTGAGTGCCATTTTCTTGAGCTTGTTCATCGCTGAGAACTGCTTCAAACGACTCAAGACTGCAGAATCAAGAGGTTTGTCTGGAGCCACGCCATCGACCTGAAGCCAAGGATGGCCTGGAAGACCGAAACCGACACTATTAGTGCTTGGAGCAATGGATGTACCAAAACTACACATTGTTTGGGAACGATGTCAAAAGAAATGTTCTCAAACCAAATTCTGTTTTTTATTTTTTTGTACAGTGAACTTGTTTAGATAACTACTTTTCCAAAGTCCTGGTTAAGTTATTCTTAAAATAGCCCTTAACCAAACTTAGAACCTCCAAGCGTTCTTCTAAGAACAACCAAAAACACAGTAGATTTGATTCCCAACCTGCAAAATATCCTATAAAAAAATGATAGGGAGTGAAAAATGAATGGATATTTCGAACCTTGATCTGACTTATTTAAAGTTTACATCCCTCATTTTCTTTCTATTGTATTTTTCTGATAGAAAGGCCAGAAATAGTCATCTTATTTTACATTCGAAGTGGTAAAAAACTTCTTTCATCTCTGTTAAGCAGCTAAGAAAGCTCCTACATGCCGGTACCTTTCTCACTTGATTTAAGCGTATTATGAAGTTTTGTATGCCTTGCATTTAGAAAATTATTATTTTATACTCTTATATATTTACACCATAGGATTTTCCTA